GCGAACCTCTTTGAGAAGCATATTTGCAGCATGCCAGTAAACAAAACGAAACCCCAAACCAAACAAACAAAAAACTTTTGCTTTGATTTTTAAACAACTTAAGAAATAAAATAAGAAGCAGTAGTAGCAGGGAGCCTGGTGGACTCCAGGAGTGGAAACTATAGGTTCCTCGGTCTCCGTGGGCACCAGGTTTCACCTTCACTTTTCTGTTGTTTCCTAGACCACTTTTAACGGCGGTTTTTCTGGGGTTTGTGGTTTCCATGTGCTACACAGACATGTATCCCAACCTACAGCTAGGAGCAGTTTTAAAACTGTAAAACTGATTTGCATATTTCCCCTTGACTTCTTTTCCCCTTTCATGTCTCTTTTCCCCCTTCATTCCCTCCTCTCTCCTCACACTGGAAATTCCTTTATGGAATTCGTATGCTGGAAAAAACAAAAACAAGCGCCAATAAATACCACCATAACCTCCTACCCTGGTCCTTCTCCTCCTCCATGTTAAGAATTTGGTTGGGGGAGCAGCTTTTTATTACTGTACTTAGATGGAGTTTGAAGTCGCAAATTGTGCATGATTTATTTTTCGACCTCTGCTGCTGTGCACAATTGAACTGCCGTAATTGCTGCCACATTGTGGACTATGCACTCAAAAGACAGAGCACATGTGACATTTCGGAACATCTCCTGCTTCTCATACAAGTCAGACCATGCGCATCTATGTGTGGCACTTGATTGCATCACTGACATGGCGGTTACTGCACTGGGTTCTTTAGTGCCTGCTCCCAGAGCAGTGATCACATTTTGAAAAAATACTGGGATGGGACTAACTTGCAGACAAAAATGTTCTAGTGTAATTCTTTCCCTTGTGGGACAAGTCGTCTTAGCTTGGAGAATTGCCAAAGTACTTTTGCAGCAGAAACAACTATTTTAAAGTGTATGCGTGGGAGGGAACCCTCTGCTATTTACCTTTGAACATGAGTCCTCAAGTTCCCCCAACATCTTTAGAAGTTTGGAGGTTTCATCAGCTGAGTTTTTCTTTTTTAAACTCCACTTTCACTCCCAGCTCTTTTTTTTTTTTTTGGCAGCAGCAGGAGGAGGGGAATCTTAGAGAACTTTCTGCTTGAAAGAGAACTTGTTTGCTTGAATTCAAACAAGAAAACAATAATATTAAAACCAACCATATTCCGCAGGTAAACCATGATGTAAATGGAACCAAGAAGCAATAATGCAGGCCATTGGGGCAGGGGAGGAAGAGAACAAGCCAGAAAACCAATCAAGAGCCATTAAAAACTTGAGAAATAAGATAGATTTTGCCAGTTGCCTAAAAGAATACATTGCAGGCACATGTAACTCAAGAAGAGGGACCAATGTTTGAATTGGTTTATCTGTTAAAGACTATTATTATTATTAAAGTGCCCAACAGCTACACCTTTCTGGGCAGTGTACAACAATTCATAAAGTACAGTGAAATGCAGTCATTTGTTAAAACAGTTAAAGGTCATAAAATTTCACAGCAGAGATTTAAAAACTGAATTTTTAAGCAATGTAAACAACAAAAATAAGTTAATTCAACTAGGCTTGTTAAACATCTCATGTGCTATTCAAAAATATTCCGTGTCTTGGCATGGGGGACACTTTGAAGGCAAAAAGACAGCGCAGTTGTCACTGGGCAGGCCTCAGTGGGGAGAGCATTTGGTGATAGGGGGCTACCACAGAGAACGCTCTTAGCCAGTGGTGACGAACCTTTGGCATGTGTGCCACAGCGGGCACGCGAGCCAAATCGCCCCAGCATCGCCCCAGCAGCTGCGCATTGGATAATGGCGCACACAGGGGCCATGCGCACGCTCGGAAAGGAGTAGCAGCACCAGGCGATGACGCCACGAGCCGCGACTCATTAGCCGCGACTCGTCCGAGCTTTCGCATGGCCAGTCAGTGCACTGCCAAGGATATATATGTGTTTGTATCATTGAAAGCTCTGTTATTGTGTTTTTCTTTTAAGACAAAAGATATTAATGTATGAGTTGTTTTTTCTAAACTAAAGCCCCAGTATTCAGGTTTTATTGCAGTGTTAAATATGTGGGTTGCGATAAATATGTGGGTTTTGAGTTACAGTTTGGGCATTCTAAAAGGTTTGTCATCACTGCTCTTAGCTGAACCACCTTCAGGGATGGCCTTTGGAGGAAGGCCTCTGATGTGGGACATAGTGTCCAGATAGATTGTGGTTGGGAGAGGAGCAATTCCAAGGGTGCCGTTAGGTTATAAAAAGCCGAAAACTCTGTAATTCCTCATAGCAACATTTTTAACAAGAGCATTTATTTTTAAGAATCAACATTTTGTTTGCGAAGGCAGAGTTCCACATGTGTTTTTTAAGAATTGTTCAGCATGATCAACTTGAGATGCAATGGCATATTGTTTTGCTGAATTTATTCTCTGTACTGGCAGTTTTATTCCGTAAGATGTTACTCCTCGAAAATCCAAGTGGAGAATTTGGATGAAGCCCAGCTTTAATATGGATATCATTTTAATTAAAAGAACAAGAATAGGTTTACCATGAAAATTGATTTCATCTGCATTTGCAAGTATATAATAGTAAAGTTCAATAGAGTCAAGCAGAATAAGTAGGTCCCAGAATAATAATAATGATATTTCAATCATAAAATGAATTTGCGGTTACCAACCAAAGTATTTTCTGGGTTATTAGCCAATGCTGTTCACCTGCTTGCTTTTAAAATAAAAATATATGTATTCTTTAAGATGTTTTTATGGGCATCTCAGTGAAATAGCTATATAAGCTATTCCTTATATAGTGCCCAATGAGATTTTTCAATCGTTTTAAGCCCTGTGTTTTATATTTCCATTTCTATATATACTGTTACATTCTAAGACTATGATGTGCAGAATATGGAAGTGTTTAAGATAATCCTTATGGGTCCTATTCATAGACACCCCCCCTTATTTAGGCCATTTCCGCATAAATCTTACGTTCCTCTGTGCCAGGAAGACAGCTGTGCTTTTGCCAATATGTTTTGGCCTCTGTTTAGCAAAAAATTTTCTCTCTGTGTGTAATCTCTTTCTCTCTTTGAATACATACCTTTATTTATGTAAAAATAAACATGCTTTTTTCATATCTAAAGCCCTCAGGCATTAATTGCATCCTCATATTTAAACAATGCTGCAATGGGATGGGATGGGCACAACTTTTGCGGTTTGTTTGTTTCTTTTATAAAGAGATCAACAAACTTTGCAAATTTCCTCAGAAACAGGATAGGAAGCACTTGAGAAAGGCAGAATGAGTGAGAATACGAAACTGCCGGTTTCATCCATCACCCATAATGCAGTGGCATTCAATTTCAGCCAACACCTGCAACCTAGGACTAACCTAGGAGAGCCAGTGTGGTGTAGCGGTTAAGAGCACGGGACTGGGACTCAGGTGACCTGGGCTCCAGTCCTCGCTCAGCCATGGAGCCAGCTGGGCGACTTTGGGCCAGGCACAGACTCTCAGCCCAACCTACCACACAGGGTTGTTGTTCTGGGGATAAGATGGAGGAGGAGAATGATGTAAGCTGCCTTGAGCCCTTTGTAGGAAAAAGGCAGGGTATAAATTGAAAAATAAATAAAATAAAATAAATAAACCTTTAATTGTTTTTATTGGGGCTGTAACCTGATTTAAAGGCACGGGCAGAGTATTCCTGTAGCCAGATTCTGAAGTGCCACAGAATGTTGCCAATCCCTTCCTCAGAGGCTGAAAACAGAGCTTGGCCTCCTTTCTCCCCAGTCCTGCTCAGCCGCTGCATGAAGCTCTGTGGACAGCAATCCTCCCGAGTCAGAGAGAAAGCGAGGGGAGAAGGGCAGCTGGGGATCCGCTGGATCCAGAGGCTTTCAGGGCTGTCTCTGTCCCTGGCAACACCTGATGGTTCTGGGGCCTGTCCAGCAAGCATGGCTGCGAAGGAGGGAGGTAAGGAGGTAAAGCTCTGGCATCCCTCCAGCCAAGTGGGGCTCTTGCCCAGTTCTCAAAGCCTTCCATCTGAGGAGTGGAGATTCTTCAGGACCGTGTTCCCAAAGATTGGATTGTGTGAGCCTGAATGAACTCGCCTGTGGGTCTTCCTGGGCCAAGAAACTTCCTTGGAGTTGCATGCCGAGTAGTCTCAGGGCTACCTAATCTGCTTTGGTGCCTGTGGCAGCAGAGAAGATGGCGCCCCTCTCATTCCACATGGCTGCTGAGCCTGAATGGAGTATCCTGCACACCAGCTGAGAGCACAGCTAAGGCAGAGGACACATCACACTCTCCCCCAGCGACTGGCCAGCCCTGCCCAGCCCGGCAGTTGGAGCCTGAGGCCGCAGCTTCACTTTGGTCTCCCCAAACTGCCTGATGAGTTTCGCCTCTGCACGCCCCACAGAGTCTCAGGTTCTTCTTTGTGTTTAGTCAACATCTCTGTACCTTCAAATTGAACCAATTGGTTGGGGTCCTACTCTCTGGAGTAACAAAACAAAACAGCATTTGCTCCAGTATTTCATATATCTGAAGATGGAACTCAAACTGCCACACAACCCTCTCTTTTCCTGACAAAACAAGCGCGGCTCCCTCAGGTGCTCCTCACAGGACTGTGTCTCCAGGTCCCTGACTTCTTGTCTGGCTGGTCATCTGGGGACACTCACCCATCATTCCGTGCTAACCCCAACATACATTTATCTATGTATGGATTTATTGCCTGCTACATCAACCCAGAGGCCCTCTGAGCAGCTCACAATTCGGACCTAACATAAAAGAGGAGGCACCATTACAAATTCCCAACTGGGGCGACACTGCTCGAAGCTATATTGCCCTTCTCTTGTCATGTCTCTTGATAAATGTGTAAGCAGTTTGATCTTGGAAGTAGTCAACTCAGAAGTAAGTCCAGTTGAGTTTAAATATGGCTGAAGATGCTATGTAGGTATGAATCTGAGCCTTAAAGAAAGAGGTGTTTCATTGAGAAATAAGTTGCTGTTTTCCTTGTTTGTTTCAGGACTGTCCTTCAGATGCTGGTGATTTTCGGGCACAGCAATGCTCAGCCTACAATGATGTCAAGTATCAAGGGCATTTTTATGAATGGATCCCTGTCTATGATGATTCCAGCTCTCCTTGTGCCCTGAAATGCCAAGCTCTGGGGAAACCCTTGATCGTGGAGCTTGCTCCCAAAGTTCTGGATGGTACTCGGTGCAATGCCAAATCCCTGGATATGTGCATCAGTGGGATATGTCAGGTATGTCAGCTTTTGTAGATCTGACTCACTGGTCTGTGTGTGACTTAAAATGTAGCCTTTCCCCAGATATATTTTCAAATGTGTGCATTTTTTCAAACACATTTTGTTTTGCTTAAGACATCACAAGTCCAGAAATCTATACATAAGTGCAACTGCAAACTGAGTTCCTGCCTGCATTTGGTTTTGTGGGTTGCAAACTAGGTAATCTCACATTAAAATGTGAATCCAATCAATTTCTTAGCAATGTTATTGTTGTTTTGATGGTATGATACTGTAAGTTCACTGCTTTGAAACTTTGTAGAAAACAGTATTAAAAGGGGCATAGAAATGGCGTGGGTAAGTCACAAAAAAGAATGTCCTTCCATTATAGCATTTCTTGAAATTTGATTGCATATAAGAATGACACCTGTAGAACAAACAGCTTGAATGCTGACACCTGTTATCATCGTCATCAGGTCTATAATCATGCAATATTTCAACTAATTCAGTATAAATTGCTGCAGATAGAGCAAGTTTAAAAGTGCTGAAAATTGTCACATTTGCATTTTTTACTCAAGCTGCATATTATATATATGGCAAGCCACCAACAGGGTCAATTCTCAGGATCTATTTAGCAACATAGCAGTGCAGTTCAGCGGTTTCATAAAGCCAATCAGGGCCAGGACAAAATAGGGCATCTTTACTTGTCCCAGGGATTCCATTCTTCCCATCTGGATTTGGGTCTGAAAGTTCTGCCAAACATCCCACCTGGGCCAAAGCACGAGATGCAGAACTTTGATTTGGTCTATCTTCCACAGCTGAATAATATAATATAATATAATATAATATAATATAATATAATATAATATAATATAATATAATAAAGTCACCTTGCCTTTTTCCTGCAAAGAATCCAAGGTGGCTTATATAATCCTCCTCTCCTCATAAGAACCCTGTGAGGTAGGTTAAACTGAGAGTCTGTGATAGGCCCAAAACGAGTCAGGGAGCTTCACAATATCGTGAGGGGGACAAGACCCAGATTCCGGAGCCCGGTGGGCATTCTAGCCACTGTGCCCGACTGGCTGCCTAGACTAGCTCCTCAGGCCATTTTCTGTGGAAAGGCTTCTACAGGGAGTACCCCTCTAGGGACTGTCCTAAAGTGTGTTGCCAGCCACAGAGAGGGAGGCCTGGGGTGCCTATGGGGGTGAGGTTTCTCCCCAGGATCCAGTGTCCAAAATCTGCCCTCCTGTTTTTAACCAAGCACGGCAGAAAGGAGAGTTTTCTGGGAACAACCTTTTTCTGTCCTGAAGAGTTTCCGTGTCTCGCTTCTTTGGTGGAACAATAAACTTGTTTCGGCTTATGCTGCATGCAGGTCTGTTTTGGTCTTTTCTCAAACCCTTCAGCTGATTCTGCTTGAAGAATTATGTTGCCATTCATTCTCGGCTTCTTGCTATTATGACTGCAAAGGCTGGAAGCCAGTTCCTAGAATTACAGCAATGGAAGCTTTACTAAAACTTGAGCCTCAATGTCGGACAGCCAAGATTTGATGGGAAGGTGCCAGGGGGTGAAGCCGGGACTTTCCGGATTGTCAGGGTTCCCACCCTGAGCAGCCGCCTGGGCCCTATCTGCCAACCAGCAGCACAAGTGCCAGGATCCGGTCCCGGGACAGGCCCTGCCATGTCAGCCTGTCAGCTCAGGCAGTGGTCCTGGGACAAGGCTTGGGCCAGAGGCCTCCCCTTCAGAGCCTTGTGTGGAAAGGGTGGCCCCTGCTGGGGGGATTCTGCCGGACTGCAAACTGTGATTTCATGGCGGCAAGTTGCTCCCTTGGAGCGTTCTCTCCTGCTGCTTTGCCCTGCTGTGCCCTCTGGGTCTCGTGGGAAGGACAGGGCAGGCTTGGCCGCTGAGGTCTGGGCTCTCTACTCTGCTGTTGGATCCAGCTGGTTATGACGATCCCAGCTCTTTGCTGATGGGCACCTGTCAGATCATGTCCAATTGTGGCAATATTAAGAGCAGGCCTACTGGTCTTCATAGAGTTGTCCTCAGGTTAAAAAAACTTACAACAACTGAAAATCTGAGGATTTTGGATAATGCTATTTTATCCATATTTAGGACCATACGTAAAGACTAGCTAAATTCAACTAAATAGAATCCTTGGATTACAAGGATATTCAGACTTGGCGTTGCTTGTGCAAAGTCAGCAATGAATCAGCCCTGGAATGCAAAGTGCTCTACTCGTCCTGCAGATAGATGCAAAACTGGGGTTGGGAGGGTGGGGGAAGAAACTCACACCTAGAGTTTGCCAGCCTCGACAGTGCCCCATTAACCACGGGGACTTTCCCCTCTCCCACTTGGTTTTGATTCAGGAATGATTTTACACAGAATGTGTATGCTTTTGCCATTAGTCTCCTCTCTGCAGAGTAGCTACTGCTGAATTAAATGCTCGAACGTGCACAACTCAAGAAACACTTGACATGGTTGATGAGCAGAGGAGGTGTGTTCTCAGGGAAAAAGTGAGACATTTGGCAAAAGCCGCGCAACAGGATTACGACAACCTTACTATGCATTGCGTTAGGCTTTATGTGCTTTTAATGTCTCCTCCACTTCTACCTACCAATCATTCCAGCACGTAGTAGTTCAGGCACCTCTCTTAAAAGCCAAAGCATCGCACCTAAAAGAGAGCCCCCTTTCCCTCCCTCTGTTTCCCTTCTCTCATTTATAGAATGGGGAAAATGTCTGAACTGGCAGTTGGCAAATGCTGGTTTCTTCATGTTTGCTACTGTATTTATAGCTTCTTTTCCAGCTAAAAGAGGGCAAAGTATTCCCCGTCGCACGGACCAGTGCATAAATCCAGTCTCTGCTCTCTTGACTCCCCTGGAAAAGGCAGAATGCAGTATGTGGCGCGTAAGCACTGGGATTCTTGTAGCAACTTCCCAGAGACAGTCGGTGGCTAGCGAGAGGTTTCTTGCCCAGAGTGGAAGGAACAGAGAACCTCTTTAGTAAAGCCAAGCAATCTCGCCGGTTTGTGCATGATTGTACAAGGAGGGAACTTTCTGGGTAAAGAGTATGGCCCGTTGTTGCTGTGCGACACCCCTTCCGGAGGGTGTGTGTTAGGGGCTGAGGTGGATGATTGGCCTTCCACCAGAGTGGCCAGTGGCACTTGTGGCTTCTGTTGCTCAGGGACTGAGCTGTCCAGAGTGTGGTCTGTGCCACAGATATGACTTGAGGCTTAGATCACAAGTCGCAGCTCTGGCGTGTTTCAGTTGCAAGCACACCGTGGCCTTTTCCACTCCTGCCAGAGACATCCCAGTTCACCATGAACACAGCTATGATCCTCACAGTGGCTGGGGACTGGATGTTCCCAGCTAGAAAATGTTTCCATGCTGTAGAGGTTTTTTTTATGTCTTTTTTGTTAATTCACTGGATCTACTTTTGCTTTCATAGCAAAATCTATACAACGTGCCATTCTTTTCTTGCTTTTCAGCTACATAGCCTTTAAGTGGCACTTCAATAACAAAATACACAAGCAGGAAAACACATCTTCTTTCGCTTTCAGAAATAGTACTGTATTTTGCCTCCTCCAAAAAACAAGCAGGAAAGTGCTCTTAAAAACATAAGTGAAGCTGGAGGATCACAGCATCACCAGGGGACTCCAGAAGTCACCTTGAATAAGGAAAAATGACAGCACAGTAAACCTTTCATGTAGAGAAGTAACTAATGCAAAGCATTTTGGTGTGGCTGGATCCTGCACGTCAATTGACCCATTAGCTTTCCAGAAGGCCTGCTTCCGTTGGCTTACCACTGGTTTGTGGATACAGTTCCACACAGCTGCATGCATTTTTAGACTCTTTGAGGGTGTGGTGACGGGGACCGCTATGATCACTGTCATTTCAAAATTTATCACTACATCATTGATGGAACCAACTTAAAAAGCATCTCTCATGACTTTATGGAACCTAACTAATGAATGTTGAATTATTGGAAATGTCAGCCCTCTTACCAGTAATAATTTAATAGTAGCATTTGGAAGCTTTCCTAGAATTTGACAGGTTTACTTTCCCCGGTTGAGAAAGAGGCATTCAACCATCAATATTATCATCTTTCCTGCAAAGCAAAGAACAAACCAAAACAAAAACATGCCCACCAGCAGCTGTCATGGAGAGCCAGTGAGTAAAAGTGGAGAGCCGTCGGAGTAATGGCTTGCAAGTTCAGTTCTGCCGAGTCCCTGACATTTCCTTGGCTCTGGCCGCTGTAAGCTTGGCTAAGGTTTTCAAGTTAACTCATCTAAATAAACATGTCATACTGGCGATGAGGATATCTTTGCCTCCATGCCTGGGAGCAAGAAACTCTTTGCTGCAGAGGAAAAAGGACTCGCATGCCTCTTCCCCAGCGGCTGCTGTTTTTGCTCATTCCTTGTCTCGGAATCGTTGGCAAGCCATGCAGTGACCTATCAAGCCTTTTAACGCAAGCATGATTTCACTTCCATCTGTTTTCATAACACTGAGGATCTTCGGTAGGCTTGCCATGCATCACTCGTTCTCCCTCCCACTTTCCACGCTGGTTCTAATAGAATGTCTTTTTTTGGGCACCGCGCATAATTTTTTGGCACCCACTACCAGAACTTCTCTTTTCACTCAGTCATTTGAATCTCACTTCACACATGGATTCAAAGCAAACAAGGTCCTTATCGGAGGAAATAAAGGACTGTGGATACTCTGATCTTGCTACTGAGGGAGCACAGTCCTGAAGAGGGTTATAGAGCAGGAGAACGTTTCTGGGAAAGTTATTTTGGTGGCCCCTTGAGAGAGTGGAGGCTCACAGCAGCCAGACCACTCAGTCATGGCTTTGTCTGCCACCGCCTGGTTCCTGTTACCAAACAAAATACTTGGAGTTCCTATGTTAAAACAGGCCTAAGTTTGGGAAAACTCTTCTGACAGAAAGATAGCTAAAGCATCCTCTTTGTTCATGAGTGGTCCAATCTGGATCTGAATTGGGCAGGTCAGTAGGGGAAAAGGGACCTGAAC